AAAGATATCGTATACGCGCCCGATAAGGACGTTATCTCCTATAAATATACGAATATTAGTAAGATACGTATATCGAGTTAGTAGATCTAGCGGACGACGGTATAGAATATATATAACTAGAGAGAACGTCGTCTTAGGTTTAAGGTATAATAGAAATCGAAGTAGAAGATACGAATAGGCGTATATATAGGTAAGGCGTAGATCTAGTAGATATAGAGTATCTATTAAATAAATAGTAGACTATAAGAGAGTCGTAGGTAGAGTCGAGATTAATAATATAAATTTAACTTAATTAAGGCTATATCTAGATATATCGCGCTAGATTAGGCCTAGAATAACTATATCTAGTTCGACTAGTTAGGGCGTCGACCCTTAGTAGACGCGTATACTAATTATAAAATAATTAGCCTTTTTCTCTTTAAGTACTATATTTCGATTAGTACTAAGGCGTATTAATATCGCTATTTTCTTACGCTACTTAACTAGTAAGGGTCTTAATATACTACTATATATAGCTAAGGTATAGTCGTATAGTCTACGATAATACGAGAAGGGATAAGTATAAGAAGAAGTAAGGGAAACTTCGGAATAGTAAGTCTAACGCGACTAGAGAGACGTAAACGCTATACTAATTACTCTACGAGTAGAACTAGGAGTAGGTAATATAGAGACTAAGCTAGAGACCGAAGTAGAGACCGACTAAGGTAAGAGGATACTTTATCGGCGTCGTATAAGGAAGAGGCGTTAGCTATAGCGATAAGCCTCTATCGACGCGTTACGCGTTAAATCGAAGCTATAGAGTAATTAAAAATATTCTAGCTAACTTTAACGGAGTTTAGAGAAAACGAATAGATATCGATAATTAACTAACTAGTAATAAATTAGAAGACTCCTTAATATCGAGGAAATAATAGACTAGAGCGAGTTAGCCTCCTAGGAAACTAGTATCGTTACCGGCCGACCTATCGATAGAGGTAGCGTAGGATAATAAAGACGAATACGAGTAGTATAACTAGTAGTATAACGAGGAGCTTAAGGAGGAATTTAAAGATAAAGACTTTATTCTAAGGCTAATACTACCGCTTAACGTACTATAAGTTATAATAGTAAGTATAAGTACTCTTTAGTAATAGTTTAGTTTAGTAACCGCTACGCTATATAGCGTTAATTTACGAAGATTAAATTATATTTAATAGTACTAACGCGCTAAAAGTTACGAGCGAGGCTAATAGTAAGGAGAATAGCCTCGTCGTCGCTCGAATAATACTTAAGCGCTACTACCTTAAGATTCTAGAATTCCTTTTCTTCTTCCTTACGAATAAATAGTTTAGTAACCTTCTTTACGTTCGAGGATATAAATATAAGTAGACGCGAAGACGAACTTAGTTAATTACGACGAGACCTAGAAAAGGCCTATAGATATCGTAGTAATATTATCGATATAGATAACTATTATTTAGTAGGCGATATATCTAGTATCTTCTACGATACTAAAAGATATTAGAAGGGAGCGTTATTAGAAGGGTATATCGAGATAATTAAGGTATATAAGTACTTTATAGCTATACTCGTTTTCTCTAGTAATAGTATAAATAGCTTAATAGAGGACTACGATAAGCGTCGAATAAATACCTAGATTAATATAAACGATAAGTATACTAAGAAACTAGTAGAAAGAGCGTAAGAAAAAGTAAGATAAAATAGGAAAAAGTATCGTATTTCGAAGAACCTAGATATTAAGTAAAGACTAGAAGATTTTAAGATAAGAGAAGTATATTAATTTAGAATACTCTATACTATACTATATTAATAATATCTTTCTTTAGTTAAAAGACTCTATTAGTAACTATCGCTCTAAGGTTATATAGCGCGCCCGTAAATAAATAAGGAAATTCTTTCCGATCGATAACTTAAGAGAAAAAACTTAAGAGAAGGTATAGTAGCTCTTAGTAGATAATAGGTTTATATATAGAAATAGTAATTAAGGTAGTATAAACTAAGAGGTATATAGACTTAAAATATAAATATTAGTATACTAATATAGTATAAGGCGGACTTAGTAGATAGATAGATATCTTAGTCTATTATTAAGTTAATAGTAAGGATTTTCTAGATTAAAGTAAACTTAGAAGTAGGTAGATATAGTATAATAAAGTATCTATTTAGCCCTCTACGAGTAGAAATAATCTACTATACCGTAATATATATCTAGTAGTACCTAAAGGAGTATAAGAGCGGTAGATACTATACTATTAAGACTAATTAAGACTATAAGAGTAAGTATTATTACTTAATATAGATTAGTACTTATATCTTACTAGATAGATATCGTCGTTTTCGTATACTATAGTACTAGTAAAGTAGAGTTAAGAGGAATATAATCTATACTATCTTAACTAAACGAGTTAAAAGCTATATCGCCCGAATAAACGGTAACGTAGTAGATAAAGAACCTATAGAGGACCCCTATAAAAACGATCTTAATATACTAGAAGTATATAGTAAGTTCTTACTCGTAAACCTTCGGGCTTAACTAGAATAATATAACTTTTCCGACTCGGACGAGCTAGAACTATTTAGGTTTAATTCTATAATTAATTCTAGCCTAGTAGTAACTACTAGTATACTTAATCGAACTAATATAGAAGAGGTAAGGTCTTCCTATAGTATAGTCGAAGGTACTAGGATAACTAAGATATTAGGAGTTAATACGTAGAGAAGTAGTTAATAGAACCTCGGTAACTTTAGTAATCTCTATAGATAATCTAGTACTATAACTAGTATTACTAGTAGTTAATATAGTTAATATAGTAAAATCTTATCGCTAAGGTTACTTATTACTATAGGAGTATATATCTCTAGAGAAGTATACTATATAATAAGATCTATAGAGACGAATATTACTATTACTATAATAGAAGCTATAGTAGTAATTAAAGATATAGATAATATAGTAATATAGAGAAGATAGAGAAGATAGTAATTATATAGATCTCAGAGATAACTAGAGTATATATATACCTTAGGAAAGAAAAGGTTTAAAAGTATACTTACTTAGTTAGAAGCTATACGAAGTCCTAGCTCGATACGTAGAAGTAATATACTATATAAGCCTATAGTACTTAAGCTAAGCCTAGCAAGCCTATAGTACTTAAGGCTAAGCCTAGCGAGCCTATAGGAATTAAGGTTTACCCTATAAGCTTATAATAAGTATCTATTGTAGCCTAGCGCTACGAGCCCACGGTAGCCTAGGGCTTACTGGGCTGCCCGGTCTAAAATATAGATGAAAGTATTATAATTCGAGCTATAAGTAGTTCTAACTAAGGTAGAGTTCCTTAATAGAGTAGGTACTAGAGTATTAACTAAGATAGTAAAGGAAATTTTTAATCGTTAGACTATATCTATTACGAACCGGGTTATAGATGAGGTCGCTAGGGTAACCGCCCTACTTTCCGAGGGATAGTTTAAGGAAGGTTAGCCGATGGAGAACGAGGCTGCATTACGTAACTAGGGGATGCATTATTGCATTGCTATATTGTTCCCAGTACACTAATGCACCAAAGCAACACTTTGACCATTATATATACACGCCTCTTTACCTAGATAGAATAGTCGTAGTTAACTTCGTTAGCAATCCTATACCTACATTTTAGGATATAGTCCGACGAATAAGTATTCCCTTTGTTATCCTGGTCAACACTCTAGTACCCGCTCTATCGAGGAACCCTACCTTGGTTAGAACTGCTTGCAGCTCGGATTATAATAATATCCTAAAATATAAATATAGAATTACTAACGAAGTTAACTATAAACTATACTATCTAGGTAAAGGAGCGTATATATATAATACTAGCGTAGACTATAGACTATCCTAGACTATCTATATAGTCTATAGTCCTTTATAGTTTAGCTCTTAGTTATATAATATAGCCTCGTTCTCCATCGGCTAACTTCCCTATTCTTCTTAGGTATAGGTAGCTTACCCTTAGCGACCCTTCTAGTAACCTAGTTCGTAATAGGTAGGTCGAAGTAATCGTCGTGTAGTAACTATATCGAGTACTTTCGAAACTTAAGCTTCGCGACTAGTAGTAACGAAAGCTATATAACGATACTCTTTGTCCTCTAAAGCCGTGAATCTAAGGTAATCTATCGTATTATTACTGTTAAAACTATATCTAGATATAGAGAATCCTAGGTAGAAGGGAGGAACTCGAATGGAAACCGTTGGTGACAAAAGTCTATGTCTACTTAGCAGAGCCTTGGAAGCTGGAGGCATTGCAAGGCTCATTTTCAACATGCTTTCGGATTCTGGTAGCTAAGCTCAAGGATCACCTCGTTTGTCAGACCGGCAAGGGCGAAGAACAGAGATTTATGGGGTCATAGTGGGCGCTTGGTGTTACTTGTTAATGTTCTAGACGAAGAGGCCCCGAAATCCATGACAACGGGGCAGAGTGTTATAAGAGGCTCGCAGGTTGAGATACAAGCCTTGCGATCTCGCTGCCGACATTGAACTATCTCCCTGACTCGTCCTCAAAGCCAATACCTAGTAGTTTCTTCTTGCTCCTGCCACTGTCCAAGCGAAACAGCACCACGCAACTGCTGGCTTAATTGCTCTAAAGAGATAGGGTCAGTAATGGAAAAGGTATGGAGGGATAGTCAAAAGCGAGTACTCACGGGCGGACCTCCATCGCTGACCAAAAGAAGCCAGCATTTTTTCGAGCAAATTCAGTTGCAGACGCATCTTGGCTCTGCGCTTATGACCCTGACTCTGCGCCAACATTCTACATTGCAGCATGGACGCCTGATAGATGGCATGAGGAGTGAATGGCGGGAGGCTATTGATGTTGACCGTCGCCAGCTCTGAGGTATACATGGTTGCCCGTTTGACGACGAAGTCACGGCAGAGATCCAGGACTTCGCGCGATGAAGACGAGGCGGGCCGGCAACTCGAGGAGGCTCCATTGAGGTTCACCTCATAGGTATGCAACAGCAAGAGAGCACTAAGATGCAGCAAACAGTTCAGTTTCTATGCCGTTGTAGTGGAAGACATTATTGAACGCGATCATCACTGACCTGATGCAGATTCCCATAGCGCCACAATATGCAGTACACGGCTTCAGCAAGTCTTCGGCAGGCAGGACAGTCAGAAATGAAGTCAATGTACGGTCTAATTGTTGGCATTCTGCCATATTGAATTCAGCGTCGGACGTCGGTGTGGTAATGTGGGTAAATGTGCGTCCGAGTAATGTTGCCGCTTGGGCTTCCCGTGCAAAAGGCCCTGCTTGAACGTCTGATGATGTTGTCATCGATATAGGAGTCAGAGAAGGGTTCGACTCAGTCGAAACAGCTTCCTTATCACTCAGCATGGTTAATACAGGCTGGGAGGATGCTAGTTTTTGACAGACCTCATCATCCCATGCGTCATCGTCGAGGGGCAAGTAGAAGCTTGGATCTGGATCTGAGGTAATTAATGGTCGTTGGGGAAGAGTCAGGCTGATATGTCTGCGTTTTCAGCTAGCATCAACAGAGATTTCGGCAAGTACGTGGAATTTCACCACCAGTGTTGAGGTGTCAGAAGGGCAGGGACATTTTGATCTTGACACTCACCTCTCCACGATGACAATTCCCCACCAAGTGCGGCTTGCCTCCTCCGTTGATACCAGATCAGCGGGCTCAGCAGACCTACGGTGAAGGCCCAACAAGATGGCTAGTCGCGCACACGTCCCGATAGACAGGTATGCAGCAGATTCCAGCCCATGTCCTATTTCGTAGCTGGAGATCAAGAGCAATGCTTGAACTAGGTACAGCGAAGGCTTACACTCAACCTCGGACAGAAGTAGGAGTTGTTTAACGCTTCTATATAGGGCCAAATCCTGGTTTCCAAAGCCCGGATCCTTAGTAAATTCTGGAGGGATTTGGGTAATCAGACGCATAGTACAGGCAAGAAGAATCCACCCTGTTCGACGGGAAAGATCGACCGGAAGATGTCTAATCGTGTTTGAAAACCGCTTGCACGACACAATAGGGAGCCAAAGATGGATGGAGGCGAAGTACTTGGACGCTTGAAGCTCAATGTCATTGAGAGATCCCGCTAGCTTAACTGCCTCAGCAAGGAGGCTGTAGCCCACATGCGGCCCTGGAATCACGGGGGATGAGACACCCACGCTGGCCGGAAAATGGTAATAAGACGTGGCCCGAGATGCGATGTTGTTACTACGCGGTGCACAACTTTGCTGTTGGAGGCTGCCATTTGAGGCCACAAATTGATGCCCCGAAGATTGGTCATAGACACATCGAGCACCGAGCCTAGAATCCCTCCTTGCGCTCAGCATTGTTGCTTTTCTGGGGTCATCACGGCGTAAGGGATTGAATATGAGGGTGGATGCTTTGCCTACCTTCTACAAGTCGAGCACCCGCGTAGGTCCTTGTTGCATTTTCGCTTCCGCCCTCGACAAGGCACACACACCGCTCGTGCAGTAGTGATGTCGACTTCAGGAAAGATGTCCATGGATGCGGCTGGCCGACTGATAGTGATGAAAAAACGAGTTCTCCACGGTTGTTTGGACTTGATCCTAGAGAGACACGATCCGCAGAGTGGAAGTTGGCGTTTGTCGTGAAGCTTGAGTAATACTGGTATCAAGGTTCGAGCTTCCCAGAAATCCGCTCGTGCATCCAACGCACTAAATATATGCAGTGATATTTGGGTGGCGAGCCAAGCAATGCATTGCCGATAGCCGTGACTTGGGGACGAATCATGCCCCCTCGGCCGTCCCCAAGGTCTTAGGGGTCCACCAAAACAATCGAGGGGGCGCGTAGCTCGCTAATGACGCAAAGGTGGGTCGCCGCCGACAGTCTCGTGGCGTTTTCCGCTCGTGCATCCGCTTCTGCATGCGCCCATCACATTCAAAACTCTCTTCTCGCTTGATTCGACTAAGTACTTAGTATTTGTGCCACTTTTGATGCGTCAGAGATATTTTACCTGCTGACATTCTGAATCGTTGACTACTAAGCATCGCTCTATTATCCTCGGGTTAGCTTATTGAGGGTCGTTTTCCATGTGTCGCCACCCCACCTTCCGCCACATAATATGCCGTGATCGGCTCAGGCGTTCTCGGGTTTGACCTCATGGCCAGATATCGAGGGCGCGGGTGGGACAGATGTCGAGGATCCAGTAGGTCGCTCCGGGTGAAGAAACTCGAGCTCCATCATTGCACACTTGGTGTTAAACCCTGCAAGGTCCTGCGGAGGACGTCGGGCATAGCTTTGAGACAGAGCAATGCGGGTGATTGCCTTCAAGCACTGCAAAGGCAATACAAAAAGGTAGCATTCAGTCGTTATCCCACGACACGGACCAGAGATGGCGACCTTCTCTGACCAACTAAGCATGTCATCGTCCGGGCGCAGATTGGCGAAAGGCGAGCTCGTGCTTGTCACGGGGGCCAACGGTTATATTGCATCACATATCGTCGATATCCTTTTGGCGGAGGGCTATAAAGTTCGTGGCACTGTTCGTGCGGTGAAACCCTGGCTAACCGACCACTTCAACAACAAATATGGTCCAGGCAAATTTGAAAATGTTATAGTACAAAGTATGGAAATGGAATCGTCCTTCCATGAGGCCGTCCAGGGAGTATCAGGCGTGGTGCACACGGTCAGTCGATCCCATTGAATGCTATAATCACTGCCCCAGCTCTCCTTCTGACCACCATTTTGTCATTCCAGGCTTCCGATCTCTCTGTCAACCCGGATCCGATGCTTGTCATCCCAAAGGTAGTGGCTGGATGCCTGAACTTGATGAAGGCAGCCGCTACTCAGCGCTCGATCAAGAGCGTCGTCCTGACATCTTCCTGTGCCGCTTCTTATGTAATTGGTTCTAGCAACAAGTCCGTCATTGATGAAGGTTGTGCGAAAAGCAGCTTTACAGGAACCTCAGAGCCGACTAACAACTGGTATTAGGGACCTGGAACGACACTGCGGTCCAAGCGGCATGGAGCGACGATACACCACTAGAGGCCAGAGGATTTCAGGTCTATACCGCCTCCAAGGTAGAAGGGGAGAGAGAAGCTTGGAAATGGTATGAGAAGAACAACCCAGGATATGCGTTCAATACCGTTCTTCCTCCATTCAATGTAAATTGGCTCGGTCCTTGCCTTGTTCCTCCATGCCACCGCTGACGGTAGTCTCTAGGTTGGACCGATCCTATGCCCCGAAATTGGCGGAAGTACGATGGGATTCACGCGCCAGCTGCTGAAAGGAGACGATTTTGTGACCAAACTATTACCTCCCCGTAAGAACACCCTGCTTCCCTTGGTGTTTCAGTATATTTCGAGATCAGAATGGCTGAGAGGAACCTTCCAAGAATGGCACATCAACGTTCGAGACGATGCGCGTGTCCATATCGCCGCTCTTCTAGATCCCGCTGTCCAATCTCAACGGCTGTTTCCATTTGCAGCCCCATTCAACTGGACCGACATGATCGCACTGCTCCGAAAGCTGCGACCGAACAACGACCGGATTCCTCCACCACCAATAAATGAGGGTCGAGACATGATGGAGATCAAGCTACGTGGCAGGTCGGAAGACCTGTTAAAATCATTCTTCGGAGTATCTGGCTACGTTGGCTTGGAGGAAAGTGTAGCTTCTGGCCTCGAAGATTGCGAGTGATAGCTTCTGAGCATCTAACACCAAGTATATAGTGCGTCAAAAGTCAGCGCATGTTGAGTATACTATTTATATGATTCTCAGAGACCAAACCTTTCGGTCATTGCTACAGTTTATGATCACAGGATGCCTTCATTCGTGTAATCTTTAGTACCTCTGGCACACCTAGTACAGAAACTATTTTGTACATACTTTTACGTCTCCGCCCTATCCAGCTCTACATCATAGTAGTTCTCTTGATGCAGTCTGGAATCTCAAATGCTTTCTGACAGAAGTAATAGTCAAACTTGCAGACCTATAAACGTTTCCAATTAGTAGATGGTAGATTGTTAATTACCGTGACTACAGTGAATAGTCTATATTTCCCACCCTACCTAGTGTACCTAAGAAAACTAGACCGACCTCTACCATGAAAACTCTGTTCAATCTTCCTTGTTAAGTTAAGAATGTCTTACAGCATCCATCGTTTCTTGGCGGAATGTCAGAGAGAGCATTGGTGTTGTGACTACAGATCCACATCGAGATATACCGATCCACAACAATCAACGGCGTCGTGATCAGTGTGACACTGTCAGGTGACTTCGAGCTCTATCTCTGGATGCTAGTACCCGTCCTGATGGTAGGTACTTAGTCTCTCTTTTCAACCTCTGCCACGGCCCCGTGCTCTACATGATCCTCGCCTTTCTCATAGTCGTCATTTTCAACGTCTGCCAAACAACTGGCCGGTTCCTTTCCAAAGAGTTTGTCGATCTCCTCCAAGGCAAGTCCAGAAGTCTGTTGAATGCGAAGAGATTAGCAAAGGACCAATTACAAGGGGGGCAGAAATGGCAAACACTCGCCTCTGGAAGCTCGAAGTAGAAGTAGACGGCATGTGCAGCCGTGAGAACGATAAACACAATATAGTACTTCCACCCGATAGTGCTCTGTGCAGTTGGAGCTAGCTGGAGCCATAACAGGTCGGTCAGCATCAAGGCTGCAATTGCAATCCCCGTTCCTTGCGGGCGGAGATGCGATGGAAATATCTCGGTAGCAACGGTCCAACAGTTGACTTCGATGAAACACGTGTAGCTGCAGAGGTGTCAGATGTGGGTAGTAAATATGAAAAGCCATGGACATGTAGCCAGGTGGCAGGGGGACTAACCAGCTCACGAACAGGTAGAGGAAAGCCAGTGATGCGGCCGCCCAAGATTTGGTTCGTGTTCGATTGTACTTTGCAATCAAGCCAGTCGCAATGCTCAGCACACATGCGATGGAAACGAATCCGATTACTGTGATCAACAAATATCAGCATATGCCATAGAAGCCGTCTGCGGCTTGACTGGTCTTACAGAGCAGCCGTCTTCGTCCCACACGATCCGAGAGCGGCAGTCCAAGAAATCCCCAGATAACAGCCCAGGTCTGGAATCCCGCCGAGGTAATCAATGCTTCCGAGTTACTCAAGCCCAGTGACTGGTAGAAGAGGGCATTGTAGTTGGTGATGACCAGAATTGCTGTGTTCTGTGTTCCGACAACGACGAGGATTGACAGAATGATACGCCTGCGATAAGTTGGTTCGGTGAACAGCTGCCAGCGGCCACCCTCTTGAAGAGCACGGTTATCCAGGGCGATCTGTTTATGGATAAGTCGGAGCTCTCGACGAGCAAAAGAATCCTGCGGGTCGCTGGGATCATGATGCAGGCGTCGCAAGATCTTGAGAGCCTCGTCATCACGGTCTTTCAATACGAGCCACCGAGGGCTTTCAGGCACTAGATAATCAGTAGTCAGCCTCAACTCATCCTGTTGGTATGCCCAATGACTGGTCGTATCTTACTGTAGAATGTGCCTGCGAAAAAGCAAAGTGCCAAAATAATCAAGATCGCGTTAGGGAATCGCCAGGCGAAAGAGCTTGAAGAGTGAAAGGTGCCAAACCTGTGGGTTTTGTCGTTAGTGTTCGTATGCTATTTGTCAAGGGAACATGCGAGTCTCGACGGCATTTACCCAACCCAGGCCGCAGTCATATATCCGACATTGACCACAGAACCGTGGACTCCCACCATCAGTCCTCGAGAATGAGGAGGTGCAACCTCCGCGAGATATACAGGCATAGCAGCAAAAGTGTGGCCCGTACCAAACCCCGTAATGAATCGAGCAGCGATGTACTAGCACAAAGGTCAGTATCTGCGCTTCCGTTGCTGAAGGTCAGACCAGGATCGCTGGGAGATACTAACCATGGCCTGGTTCACAGCACCTGTCTGTATTGCGGCCCCAGTGATGCAGATTGCTGCACAGAGTTGAAACGAACGTATTCGGCCGAGTAAACGACCAACTGAGCCAGCGAAGATACACCCAAGTGCACCACCAGCGAAGAATATACCTTGAACAGTGGCAATAATATCAGAAGTATGCCGGTATCCTGGCGACGTCGGATCAGGATCCAGGTCAATGCTTGCGTAGAAGGACGGCTGGCCAATAGTGGCGATGATGACCGCCAACCCGTAACCACTCAGCCAAGAGCCAAAGGCGGCGAAGACGACAACCTGCCTCACAGATAAGCTTGTGAAATCATTGAGTGAAACCAAGAGCCTGTGAGGTTACGTGAATGAGAACTGACCGCGACGTTATAACCACTGTATCTCTCCGTGCTAACTGCCAAAGGACGCTCCATTGTTTGGGATGCTCGATATTACTTGGGCTCAGGCGAGAATGAACACTGTTGTTGAATAGACTGTCTCTCGAGACCATTGGACTTTGTCTATGCATTTATACATCGGTCGTCTTGCTAATTAAATTGACAGAGGTCGCGGGCCGGGTGAGCCAGAGCCGCTCTGTCTCCAGATTGCAACCCCGTATTTTCTAGCAGTGTGGAGTCTGGGCATGCCTCGGTCGGGGCTGGAGGTGGCATCTTGAATTGAGATATCGAGGCATCAAGTGGAGAATGGAGAAAATCCGGCGATAGACCAAGTCTTCCAGCTTCTCGGCTCCTCGCGGTCCAAATTCCTACTGTCATGGTTTGTCTAGGTCAGACAAGTCTCAGGCTTTGGTTCTTACGCAGCAGATCGCGAGTTGCCTCGAGTCATCGTTCCGATCCTCCAATCTCCCTGTGGTGCTTGATAGTAGATATTGCTCCACTCCTGTATTCGACGCTATGAAGGACCCTGCGGAATTGAATCAGGCACGAGTGGACGCACTAGTGGAAGCTAGCGCGGAAGCACGAGCGGACGCACTGGTGGATGCACGAGTGGACGTAAGAGTGGATGTATGAGTGGAAGTGGCGTTTGTGGTATATTCGATACGTTCAGGAGTCCACAAGAAGTATTCTATTTTCTCAGCCAGTTAGATGATTGAAAAGCAAAAAAAGGAGTTCATTGTCGTGTTTCCATTTCATTCTCGGCTCACGGCACGTTCAACCTTCTCTCCCCATCGCCGATCAACACACTCCTAGCAATACCAGTACTTGTGATTCGATCCATAGTCATGCGACATACTCAACGCTCGCTAATCCCTCCATATGCAATCACCAGAGACCCAGTTTACGGATGGTGCACACTTTCATGGAGGAAAGCAGAAATAAC